ACAGCTTTGATCTAGCCCAAAGGAACAACACTCTACTAAGTTCCTAGCTAACCCCTGTCCTTCTCTAAGACAAGATAAATTAATTCCCAGGGTGACCCCTTAAACTTGTTTGAACCCATCCACTGAAAGACGTCTAAAATCCAGAAAACAAATTAAGAGGAGGCGGCTTCAGAAAAAGGAGAGAGATGAATAAGGATAGTCAAGAAAAGAGAAATAGATCAAGTATTTGTGGGCAAATGCTGTTTACCTAGGACAGCACTCTGGTGAAGTATGTAAATCTATCTCCCAGAAGTTCAGGTATTTATGTAAAGTGGGGAAGAGGGATCAGAGCAAATTGACACAGACTCAGATCTGACCAGGAGGGATTTTTTTTTCTTATGGAAGTGAAGGACATTTCTAAAGGATGAAAGAACTGTTTGAAAATGTTATACCTATTCTGAAGTATTCCAGCCATTCTAGTGTTAGTTTAAAGTAAATTAATTCTTGAAGAAGAAGAAGAAGAAGAAGAAGAAGAAGAAGAAGAAGAAGAAGAAGAAGAATCATCATCATCATCATCATCATCACCTGGATAGATTCCTTTTTTGCAGCTACTATTGAATCCTACTGTACTCTAAGAGCTCATGTGGTTAGCTCATAAGATTCTGGAAAGCACACTCTCATATGCCCACTACATTCATGGAGCACAACACAAGGGAAATGGGGAAACTCATTGTCTACAAAAAACCTTTACTGCTCCTGGTTCCATTATCCCCGGCTCTCTGTTATTTTCCTGTGCCATATCTACAGATGCCTGTTTCCCTGCACTATTTTTTTCTCATCCTGCTCCTTCCTCATTTCTTCTGCTCACCTAGGTCTTACTTACATCTGCCCGTGGTCTCTAGTAATGTCTTGAGAGCCATCGGAATGACTCAGGGTTTCACATGAGTCTCACTATTGATATTAGGGGGTGGATAATTCCTTGCTGTGGGGGCTGTCCTGTGCATTATAAGATGTTCAGCAGCATCCCTGGCCTCTACTCAACACATTCCAGTAGCACTACCTCACCTGATGGTCATATACAAAAATATCCAAATTGCCAAATGCCCTATATCAAGGAGCAAAATTTCCCCCTGTTGAGAATCACTGGAACAGTTGTATCTGCTTCTACTCCTTAACTTAGCAACATAGGGCTAAAAAGGAATATAATTAAGAACAGAGAGGGAACAGAGAACGAATAATTTCATAGGAGGTGGCCTCAAGAAAAATTTCTATCAAATTGGTAGGCAGAGTCCGATTTCTCTATGACTTCTATCTCTTCTGTCAAGCTCAAGAATATCCTGAATCCGTCAGCACAGTGCATTTTGCTTGTCTAACTTATCAGCTACAGGTTATAAGACATGTCATTAAGATGGAGGGGCCTTTGTATTTTGACCTCAGAGACAGTGTAGGCAGGAATTTTCAGCAGGCTATAAATATCCAACACATTCTTGTAGAACCCATAATGCCTTGTTAGGTTAATATAAGGTGTTGCTTTTGAGTCTTCGGGCTTTGTTGGCAATTCATTATGAATTTAGGAAAGGAAGAAACCAAAGCAATGAAATGCTTAAATGACTAGGAACTGTCATTTGTCTCACTAATAAGGTGACTTGGGCACTAACACACCCTTCTAAATGCTGTTTTCTCTTGGGTTTTTTCTAGCCTTAGAAAATAGGCAGGTAAAATACCAGCTGCCAATAAGTGAGCTGATAGGAATTTCTCATGCTTTGTTTTTGGGTGGTTTTTTTTCTTCTTAACTTACTGGTATTTATTCATTCTGTCAAAATGAATTTTCCAAGCTTAGTTTGTGCTATCTCCTACACAAGAAAGCCCATTTAAATGCATTTAAATTCTTTAAATTTTATATATATATATATATATATTTTTTTTTTTTATTGGAGTTTGATTTGCCAACATATAGTATAACACCCAGTGCTCATGCCATCAAGTGCCTCCCTCAGTGCCATTTAATGCATTTTGTTGTCTGTGTTTCTGACAGGTCTTTCTCTTACATCCCCCCTGTCTAGTACCCGACAGACTGGAGTCTGGTATTATTAGTTACTGCATTAGGAAACACAAATTTAATATTAAATTTCCTGCTGGTTGGTTTGGTCACTTCCTTTGTGAAGCTAATAGCACTTCTATGCCATGTTATAAGACTATAACTAGGTTTATAAACCTAGTTTATGCCATGTTATAAGACTATAACTAGGTTTATAAACCTATAAACCGTCAGAATGCTATAGAATTCAATCTATGTCATCTCAGCCTCTCCACAGCACTGACACATTTCACTGCTTCCTCCTTCCCTGAAACATATTTCACTCTTGGCTTTCATGATTCCACCTTCCCCTTGATTTCCAGTTCTCTGGTTGCTCATCTCAGTTTCTATGACTCTTCTGGATTAATGGTTCTCTTAAACTTCCACTCTTCTTGACCCATCAGTACATGCAGATATGACATGGAGCCCTCTTTTTTATCTAAACTCTTCCTAAGTGATCTCCTCCAGCCTCATAGTTTTAAGTACCATCTACTTCCTAATGACCCACCAATTTCTATCTCCAGACCTGAATTTTTCAATAAGCTTTAAAATTCATATATCTCATTTTCTTTTCTTTTTTTAATATCTCATTTTCTATACACCAAAACCTCTTGGATCTAATGGGCATAAAAAAATTAGTGTGGCTAAAACAGAACTCTCTATTCCCCATCCCTCTCACTCACTCCTCCTTCTACTGACTGCCTAAGATCAGAGCCAAATGTGAATATTTATTGTCCCCCATTTCCTTACCTCTGCTCAGGAAATTTCCTCACCACCCTCTACTTACTCCCTCATCATGTTAATTCAAACGCTCCCCCTCAGCTTCTTATTACATGAGCAGATCTTGGGCTTTCCTAGATTTCTTTTTCCACTCTTTCCTTAATGCCCAAAGGCCCCTGTTTTTTTTTATAACTCTGCAAGTAGAGGTGTGGACACAGTAACACTCCTGACACTCATCTTTCGTCACTGCATTGGTTATCCTATGTGGTCAGTGCATAAAAGCTTCTGATGTGACATTTATAATGCGGCAGTTTTGATACTAAAGTTTGACTTGACTACAAAGAAACAAACAAAAAAACAAACAAAAAAACCACAGCAAACTCTTGATATAGTTAAATAAATACCACTAATTCTTTTGCATGTTTTTGTTACCAAATAACAAATGAAACAAATGCCCTTCTCATATGCTATAATGTCAACCATCTCCTGATCTCTGTGCAAACATGTACAAATATGGTATAAAGAAAACATGGCACAAAATATTTACCTATTAAAACTCTCACATCCAAATGACTACATCAAATAAGCCAGAGTAATAAAGAGATGTATTAATTTCATAAAACTATTTGGAAAAAATATCTGAAATGTCTTGATAAAAATGCAAAGATGAAAACTGTTCATGAGTAGAGTACCAACTTAAAAAAAAACTTGACAGTTTCATAAAATCTTATAAGTAATAGGGCCAATTTTTAAAGAGTAGAGATCAGCTGTAGCCTCTAAAAGTACCAAACTTTTAAAAATAAAATTAAGCTTAGTGGTTTCAGGTAAATATGCAAATAACCAATGGGAGGAATGTTGTGCTCTGAAAAATAAAGTGGAAATTAGACTTTTAATGGTTGATAAACGATCTCAGAAGCAGAGTTTGTTTTCTCAAAGTAAATATAATATAAGTGAATTCTTATCCTTCTTATTGAGGCCAGGTGGAAGAAAAGACTCTTGAATAGTGGGGTACTTTGTTTGAAACATAAATATATAAACAAACAAGAACACCAAGGCTATTTCTGTCATTAAGCCTCAGGATAATTAGACTGCCTTGGCTGAAGATATACTGTATCCACCAGCAGGCAGAGAAGCTACCTGGAGGTTACAAGATAAAGTTTTTAAAAATGGCTTAGAAAATGTTGTTTATATAAAAGGATGTTGAGGTGTAGCAAAAAAGAAACCAAAAGCAAATGTGAGGTGCTAAACCAGGATTCTCAGACTGAGACATCTTTAAACATTTGTCCCCCACATGGAGATATGAAAGGGTCTAGGATAGGACTTATTCGGAGGGAATCTTGGCATGCTCTAACTGCCACACACCCCTCTAGCAGGGAAGGGTAATGGCTTCCCAAAGAAAAGGGATTTATTGGGACCACTCAGAGCTTTATGTTTGCCCCATACAGTTTGGAGTGTACTGAACACTGGGATCTGAACCATGTCTGAGAAATCTAATTTGTAAGAGGATGGCTAGAGAGTGCAATTGACTAGGGACAGGGAAGGCAGGAGATAACTGTCTTCCCAAAGATTGTTGGGCCAAAGGATATCTGAGTGTTTTCCTGAGGACTTCATGTGAGTCACAAGAGAGAGAGGCAGGTTGGGTTTCTAGATCCTGTCCAAAACACCAGGATGTGCCAGTCAGAATGCATTTGAGAACATTTGCTTGATGGCTGTGGGAAGAGATAACTCATTTTCCTGGATGTGAAGAAGACACATGCAGCCCTGATTGCTAATGGCAGCCATGTTGGACATGGAAACATCTAGTTGAGAGGTGAAATTGACAGATGAGGAGAATAGAGCAGAAAGGCCAGCAGAAAAATGAAGCATGAAGCATGGCCAAAGGATACATAAAGTCCACCCTTGATCTCAACTTTTTGCTGATGTGAACCAATAGACTCTTTCCCTCTCAAGCTAGTTTGAACTGAATTTCTAATATTTACCGTTGATAGCACTTCGTTTTATAATATTTTCTAAACGATCTGGGAGAAAATCCACAGTCTAAATCTGTGCTACACTAGGATAGTCCAAAACCAGGAAAATGTAAAAGAATCAGAATGTCTGCTTCACTTAGTTCTTAGTACCAACTCCATCCCTAGGGAAGATTTGGCCTATGAACATTGATTGAAAGATGGACCTTCTTTTATGGGGGAGGTAAGAAAACAACAGGGGGTCAATTATGTGTTACCTGGTAATGAACTCTCTGGGAGCCAGAAGAAACTGACTGCAGGTCCTAATGAGAAAATGGGGGAAAAAAATCCATACCTTAAGATTAGTTTGAACAGGCTGACTCTATAACTCTATGAACCAAACTCCCAATTTAATATTATTAAATTCATCTAGAAAGGATCTAACTCTTCCAAATTCATCAAGGTTAAACACAGAAGAAAATGCCCAAAATAACAAAAACAAACCAAGCTGGAATGAGAGAAGAAAGGCCAGTTAGCTACTGAAATCTATAAATCCTAAATAGTTTTAGAAGTAAGTGATATAATTTCAAGGGTCAAAAAGATCAAAAGTAAAAAATAGCCAATTTTGTTTTAATAAATGAGGGTTGTATTTAATTTGCACCTAACTTTTGACTTATGAAGAAAGCTTCTAAAATCCCTTTCAGTACTTAGAAAGAATTTATTTATCTTAGACCAAATACAAATTGTCATAGTAATTGTGTTTATACCGATAAGTGCTTGGCAAACACAGGTTTTCATAGATAGCAAAGAGAAAGTCTTTGGCCACCTCTGCATTATTAAGAAGTGCAAATTAATAGGGTTGAAATTAATGAGGTTTTACTGGCAGATTCTGAGTGTCTGGCTCCCTTTACAAAGTTTTATAACTAAGTTGTCACCATGATCATGTCCTGAAGGCTTCCTTGTTAATGAGGATAGTGATTCTATTTACAGATGTCAGCAATCCTGGGTACCTTTGTCCTCAGACCTGCTTCCCATAGGGCTTTACCAACCTACTCTCTGTGCACAGCTTAGTTTGAAAACTTATCCTCTTTGAGTTCATTCATTCTTTTTTTTTTAAGAATCTTAATTTTAGTTGAATATTGGTAGTTTTCAACAAAGTCAATTCATCAGTCATGTAGTTTACTACTGTGAAATCTTAACTTACCCAAGAGTTACTTTAACATGTTAAAGTTATCCTTGGTAAAAAGATAGCCAAATAAAGCCACAAGTATAAAATTTGCTGACTTTTCTTCTCTCATCCACATCAGTATTCAAAGTTTGCTCTCTATCTCAAAATATATTGTATTCACAATTCCATCTCTATCTTTAAAAATGCTGAAAAGAAAACTTAACAATTCTTTATATTTATGCCTCCTACCTGATTTTATTGCCACCAAGAGAAATAGAATCTCATGTTCAAAGCTAAGTGGTTACAACTGGAAGATATTTTAAGTAATTTATATCTTATTTGTGATATTTACTTATGTATAATGTGTCACCTAGAAGAGAGTTGTTCAACTTGTGGTATCTATCAAAATTACCCACCAGCTTAAAGAATACAAATGTCTAGACCACATCCAGAAAAAAAAATGATTTTAATGTGCATCTTTCATCAAGAAACAATGATGAAGAAGTGGATATTTATGCTTTTCATCATTTGTAGAATGGACATAGTGAATACTCCTCGTCAAAGTTTTGCAAAAACAATCAATGGCCACTGCAATGATGGGTCTGGGTCTCCTGACTTTACTGGTGTAGTTCACATTCATGAGGTCTCTTCCATTGTCCTTCTCTATGGTAAATCATACAGAGGAAAAAAGGAGAATATTCTTCTGTGTTCTGACATGAATTCCTATGAAAGATGGAAGGGTTTTCTTTCCTGTAGAAGTTATATTTTTAAAAAATGTAGTGATCTTTGACAGAAGACTGGACTAGATACAAAACATTAAATAATCTCTCTGTTCTCATTCATTATTTATCAGGACCCTTTGAAATTTTATATAGCTCAAAAAACACAGGGATGTAGTCTGGCAAGAAGACAAGATGTTCCAAGCTATAGTTATGGATCACACTAGAGCAACATCCTTTCCCATTTCAGTCACCTGAGGAGGGAAAATAGCAGTGGGGGGTCAGGGAGAGAGAAGATGTGGTCAATGCTTAACAGGCAAGGACACCACACTTCCATTTCCTCCCCAGATGCATATATATGGCTATATATATACATATATATATATATATATAGCTGGTAATTGTTTACAAAAATGGAAAACTAAGAATAAATAATTGGCTAAAGAAACTCACCTCCTGTAGGCGATCTATGTACATACGGCAAGTCTCCAAATCACAGTCTCCACGCACAACTAGAATACCCAGAGGGATAGCTAAGGGTGAAGGAAAGAGAAAAGTCTAAAATAACATATTTGATTTTTCTAGATTGGCATAGATGTGTTTCTTATGGTTAAAATAAAATCTCATAAATATTATTAGTGTTTTGGACATTTCAATATACAAAATTCTCAAACCTCCCTTGTGATTCAATCTCTTTATTTCATAAGCTTTCCTTGCATGAGCCATGTTGTCCCTTGCCACCTGGCCAGCCTTTATTTTGTCTTGGTGGCCCTATTATGAACTGTAATGTCATGGAAACAGTGTACTGGCAGGACCAGGAGGCGGCTCACAGCCAGCTAATAATTTATGCCTGCATTTTCAATGGTCAATGTACTACCAGAGAAAGGAATTAAAAAATCATGATTCTGGATACTTACTCCTTTCCTTCCTGAATGCATGGAGCTTAACCTTTCTGTCAGTGTGCAGCAATTTCCTGTTTAAGAGACTCAAGCTACTCCAGCCACTGTGCTACCTGGTGGCTAACACCAGAACTACATAGATATGAAATGTTTAAAAAACAACAAAACAACAAACCAAAAAAAAAAAAAAAATCCTGGAAACTTTAAAAATCCAATTGATTTTAAAGATGGTCAGTGTAAATGTGGTAGCAGCAGAGCTTCAGGGAACAGTTAGGAAAAGCTGTTATGGTCTTAAATATCTTACATTTAGGCGGTGGCAAATGTCATACAGAGGCTTTAATGGATAGAACTTCCTACTTCAGATATAACCACAAGATTCCTGAAACACTGAAAAATAGTCTCCTTCCCAAAACTTCAAAATATGTATTGCCTATGTCTAATTTTAAAAGTGCAGTTATACTATTAAATCTATTATTTAACAAAAAAAGAACACCCTTCAAAATTCTAAATTAACCAACTAGAGTCTAGCAAGCATATGATATGACAATGATGCTCACTAAAGATTTTCTAAAACCTTTCACCCATTGAATTTTTAAAGCCTCATCATCAATAAATGGGTCTGAAATGCAAAATGCATTAAAAATTAATAATACAGAGAATAAAATACATATAAAATGCATGAAGAAATCTTGTGGAACTCACAAAGTAGTAGAGAAGACATACATATAAACAATAATAACTGTAGCATAGGCTACATTAAATATGAGTTTAGTCATTCGAAAACTATAGGAGAGTGGGACTAATTCTTGCCAGGAGGATAGTTTTATGCTCCCTATAAATGAAGCCCCACTGGCTCTTTTAGTTAGGGAAGTGAGGGTAGTCTGGAGAAAAAGAAATAGTTTCTTTCTCAATGATACCTCTTAGATTGGCAACCTAAAGCAACAGAGTGTGGTATTGATCTCTCTAATGGAAACCAAAGTCTTGCATACATAAAGCTTGAAAACAGTCATCATCTTGTAGAACTATGTAAACATGTGAATAAATACTATCACAACCATAATGTCTGGTATAGCAATGGTAGATAGTCAATAAATTTGTAACAAGAGGAAGAAGAGCTTAGAGCATGCTCAAGTGTAAAAGAGAAAGTATGTCTTTACAGGCTAGGTCAGCTTTCCAGAGGAGGCAAAAAAAAAAAAAAAAAAAAAAAAAAAAACAAAGGTTTGGAGCAGGAGACAGAGCATGCGTTGGGTTGGAGTAGAGGAGGCAGTAAGCAAAAGGGTAAGGAGCCCTGCAAGTGTCATGTGTTGAGGGGAAATAATAATCTGGAAAAATATTTTTCTTTTCTTTTTGAATATAAACAGAAACATCATAAAAGTCATCATGTGGTAATCATGCATCTTTAAAAGAAATGGAAGGAAACTTCAATGAGAAGATTCCTAAAACTACTAATTAAAATAATCATCCTCAGCTAGACTACTAAATAGATCCAAATAAAATTAGCCACTGAAGTAAAGGAAGAATAAAGATTTTTAACCCTTGAGGAATGAGGAGGAGAAGCTAAAATTTTGGCCTAGAAAGTCAGTCAAATGTTATGAAAATAAAATGTAACTATTTCTAACATGAGAGCCCATGTTAGAGTCTTAATGATGTATTCTCTTAATTTCAAATGTGCCAATGTAGAGAAATGAAATTTGATCAATACTTATCTGTTTATTTAAATTAGGAGATATATTTTTTTCGAAATGCAGGAATCCTTTCAACATCTCTCGTTTCCTTCTATTATCAATGCTTGGAGTTAATCTGGCCATAAATTCAATGTATGTGGTAGCAGATATTTTAAACTACATTTAGAGAGTAGATATTCCAGACCTAGCTAGCATCAAGAAGGTATAGCTTGGAAAAAGTTTTCAAAGATGTGTCATTCATTTCTACTGTAAGTATAAAATCAGCTACTTTGCAATATTCCTCAAGAAGTCAATTAAGAGAAAGAGTGCTTTTGATTGATGTAAGCTATAAATTGGGCTTAAAAAAAGGCATTCTCCACCACAATTTAATACCATAGTTACTGACAATTGCTGTCAAATTTATCCTATGAAAGTAGCAGTATGCAGTAGAAAGGATTTATAGTCATTCTCTCTTGGATTCAAATCCCAATGCTGTTTTAATCTTAGGAATTACTCACATTAGCTCTTTGGTCCTGTAAATTACTCAATTCATCTGATCCTTAAAGTGAGGACTATGGTATTTAGGATAGGTATCTTCTAGGTTTTTGTGAAGATTAAATGCAACAGTATATTTAAAAATGAATAGCCAAAATATCAATGTTCTTTCTCATGTACTCCCTTTACTATCTTTTGAGCAATTTTAGCTAGAAAAGGAACACATCTAATCATATATCTTTCAGTTTATCATAATACTGTAAGGATTAGCTGGTAGTTCCATAAGTTATATTCCTGTTTTTTTTTTTTTAAAGATTTTATTTATTCATGAGAGACACAGAGGAAGAGAGAGACAGAGGCAGAGACACAGGCAGAGGGAGAAGCAGGCCCCATGCAGGGAGCCTGATGTGGGACTTGATCCCAGGTCTCCAGGATCACACTCTGGGCTGAAGGCAGCAGTAAACCACTGAGCCACCCAGGCTGCCCTATTCCTGTTTTCTTAAAACAAACTTCTATTCTTTCTGCAATGAGAAAATAACTGTAGTACAAAAATACTGTAATCTGACAGTATCACTTGGGGCTTAACTTGGTGGATAAAGTAGAAATTTGTGGAAATTATCACCTTCCTTTTATAATATTGACAACCAACTACCACTTCAATGAAGTTTCATTCATATTTATTGGGAACAATGAAAACAGTTATCACTTGAGCATTAGCATCATTATCCCCAATCCTGATGGTTCATGTTATTTTGGCATTAACGATTTTATTTGACTCCAAAAAGCAATAGCCAATACTCAGCCTACATAATGGAACTTTTATTTGCAGGGATCAAATGGAATTTATAAGTTCTAAGCAGTAAAGAACAAGCTGGTTTCTCAGTTAAGATGGAAGATTTAACACCTCCTTTTCTCTTGCCAGAAATGCTACTAAATTACAGTAAATGGATTTTTTTAAAGACATAAACCAAGAAAAAAGGAGGAGAAACAGTGAGCAGAGAGTAACAGATGAAGCAGATGGAAAACTGGTAAATGACCCATAGCACCTATAGAATCCAATCTTAAACCATGGGTAGGATTGATGAGAACCAACATGATTTCTACAGAAAACCCTCAGAAGTCTTGTAACTGGCCGTTTCATGCGACTCACAAACAGATTGGAGGGACAGCCAAAATGGATGACTAGATTCTACTAGCCACTCTTGGCAAGTGTAATTACTTTACAGACAATGGGGGATTAACTAACCATCTGAAGAATGCAAAGATTCCCAGATTTCTCCCTCACTACTCTCCAAAAGTTGGCAGTCAGAACCTTACACTTTTTTGGAAAAAAAATTTGAAGTCTCCTCTCTGAGGAATCCTCAGATAGTTAAAAGAAAAATTTCCATCTATGAAATATAAACAGATTATATTAAAAGAAGATAAAGAATATGAGGAAGAAAAAGGAGAAGGAACATCACTCATATAACAAATATTGAAAATTTTAAAAACTGATAAAAAAAATAGAGTTTAATGGAAAGAATAGAAGATAAAGTTGAGGAACTCTTCATAAACTTAGAGCAAAAATAAAAGGAGGCATAAAATACAAGAGAAATGCTAAGAAAAATAAGACTGGGTCAAGTGGTCCAACATTCAAATAACAGGAGTTCCAAAAACCAGAGAAGAGCAAAAGGGGTAATTATCAGAAATAAACAAAATAAGGGGTGACTGGGTGGCTCAGTCGGTTAAGTGTCTGCCTTAAGCTCAGGCCATGATTCCAGGTTCCTGGGATCAAGACTTGTATCCGGCTCTCTGCTCAGCGGGGAGCCTTCTTCACCCTCTCCCTCTCCCTGGCACTCTGCCTACTTATGTGTTGTTTCTCTCTCTGTCTGTGTCAAATAAATAAATAAAATATTTTTTTAAAGAAATAAAATAAAAAATATTTCTTAGAACTGAAGAACATTACCTTCAAACTGAAATGGCCTGACAGGTGCCTAGCACAATAACAATAAAACAATAGGAAGACATTTTGTTTTAAAATTTAAGAATACTGGGGACAAAGCATCTACAAATTTCCAGAAAAGAATAACTAGGTGACATATAAAGGATCAGAAATTATTTAGTTTTAAACTGTACAGGCATCTACATGGTCAGGCAGGTAATCAAACAAGGCCTTCAGCATTCTAAGACTTTTACACATAAACCAAGCTATCAAACAATCCAAGGATTGAATAAAGGACACACCCTCTATCAAGAAGCTCCTATAGTACTTCTCCAAACAAAAGTTGAATTTGCAATAAGGATGAGAAATGCATGCAATATAACATATAGAGAATACAAATAAGAGGAGCAAAGGTGGGATTAGACAAGCACAGGATGACAGATGCAATGAGCTGCCAAACAACATATACTGGAACACTGTGACTCAAGAGACCTTTATGTGGATAGCGATCATCATTGAGATTTTCACAATCCTTGCAGTTATTTTTCAACCCA